TTTGTCACACTGAAATAGATTTTCTTATTCATTTGCCAAAGTAAATGCTTTCTCTGGAGACACCTACTCAACAGTACACCTTTGGTTGTCAGTAAACTTTGACGACTTACTGGCTGTGCAGACCCTGGATATTTGATGAAAACAAGTGGATTACTTTTAAAATATGTGCTGTGCATAAAAAGACATCAAATGTGGGAAAGTTAAAGAACAGAAAGGGTAAGTAGTGAAAAAGAACGTGCATTGGAAAGAAGACTAGGAAAAGAATGGAACAAAATATATTTGAATCATATTTTATAATTAGGATCTGTTGGGGGAAAAATCCAGAATCATTGCAGGCTTTAGACTTTATCTCCAAAATAAAAATGAGCCAGGGTTGGACTACCCAAAGATCGATCAAATATTTTTCTTGTGGCCTGTGGCATAATCCATATTTTCCATTTTTCTAAGATAAGTAAAAAAAACAGGTGTCCAGCAGCCTAATTACCTGGCACTCCTCCAAGGGCCTCTGAGGGACAAGAAGGTCATGGAAATTATGTAAGCTGTATTAACCAGCCTGAAGGAGTTGATGGGTTTCTATTTGCACAGTTAGCCACCCCACTTTTTCTCTTTCTCATTCTTTCCCAAGAAAATGGCAGCACAGAACTTTTACTCTAAGGACAAAATCACACCGTCCTTTCATGACCCCTTCCATTTAAGAATCTCTAGGAAATAATGAGCTCATGAACCATCAGTGCTGCTTTGATCTTTCATTTGGGGACATATGAAATAAGAGGTGATATCAAGAGAGGTACCGGTCTAGTAGAAAAGCAAAGGGCCTGAAATCAGAAGTTATGTCTGTGACCTTGAGCAATTTACTTAACCTGGAGTTTCCTCATCTAAAGGGGGGATGAAAACAGCTGTCTGCCATCTCACAGGCTTATTGGAAGTGTATACTCCAAAAGCACTTGGCCGACATAACACCCTACGCAAATGCTTTTGTCAGCAGTGGAAACAGAAACCCTGGAACAATCTCATAGTTTAAAACCTGAGAATACCACTTCACCACCTTCAACATGCTGAAGACTTTGGAATGAGGAAATACCATGCACAAAATTTAACGAATCTGATAAGAGAAGGTTATTAGGAGTCATAACATGGAGAAATCATAGCTCCTGTGATACATACCACAGTGACTCAGTTCGTGTCAGGTGAGGCACAGTGAGCAAAGCCCGGGCTTGTTGCATAAAAGATCAAAAACAGACTGGCCATTTAGGTTTAAGAAGCAAAAGAAGCATAAAGTCATACTCTTGTAGGAAAGTAGGATTCTGCTGTTTGTTTTTCCTTTTTTTTTTCCTTCAGACAAGCTGACAGGTTTTATTTAACTCTTGGCAAATTTCATCTTACATAGGATAAACTAATGTTCCAGGGGCAGTTTAAAGGCTGGGAGAGGCCTCCAAAGGATTATCTTCCTTTTAACACATTCTCTTTAGAGTTGTTCTCTATGGATGCTCAACATGAAAATAACAGATGTGCACATTCTTTCAGTGAGTCCATCAATGCTTCAGTTGTCCGAGAATGGTTCTCTCCAGCGGGAGTGGGCAAGAAGCCAGGACTGGGGTAGGGTGTTCTTAGAGTCAGCTGTTTATCAGCCAAGAAAACATGGTACCCATGAATCCAGTATCAGAGCCTTACAGACTGTGGGAAAATGACAAACTGTCAAATCCCACATCCTTTGAAGTTGAACAAATTTCTAATCCTACTGAATTGCCTCTGCAATTGGAAACACAGTAGTATGTGAAGCAACGGAGAATAGCCAGCTTATTTCTTTTGCTCACAGCCTTTTTTTTTTTTAATCTTCACCCGAGGATATTTTTTCCATTCCTATTCAGACAGAGTGGAAGGGGGGAGAGAGAGATAGAAACATCGATGTGAGACAGCACCCCAACCAGGGCCCGGGATCGAGCCTGCAACTGAGATATGTGTCCTTGGCTGGAATTGAACCCAGGACCCTTCAGCCTAAGGGCCGATGCTTTAACCACTGAGCCAGACTGGCTAGGGCTTGCTCACAGCCTTTGAAGAGAAAATAATGCCTAGGTATCTTAGTAGGAGTTTGTCTGTGATCCTCAGTTGATTCTAGGTACCTTGGGTCTCTTAATGGTATGTTGTTCTATTATAAATTCTAGGAGACCATTCTTGGCATGAATTGCACAGATTTCTGTAACAAAGCTCTTATTGTTTCAAGTTTTGTGGGAGTTGCTTTTTCCATTAGATACCAGATACTCACTTCTTAATTCTACCAGAGGAATTCCTTAGTTCCCTCTATCAAGACCCTGTAAAATTATTCTGAACCTGGGATCTTCTGGGATCTTTATCACAGACAGTTTAGTCAATTAATTCCTAATAGTAATTCTTTACTGGGTAGGGTAAAGAATTTTCCTGAGCAGTATGGCCAAGAGATAAAGTATCCAGACATCTGGATGTCCCATCTCCCCACACAGGAGATTTCAGAGCTTCCACTACCCCAAAGGCCAAGGATTAAGGCCATTTTGGAAAGGGATCCTATGTGTGTTGCTTTAACTATCCCTGGAGAAGAGGTGGAGTTATTGAAATCCCATGCTTTGATAATTCTCGAATGATTTAATCTTGGAAACCAAGTAGAAATTAGTGTTGGTTTAAAAAAAAAAAAAAATTTGCCATGTGGACCCATCCTTGACATTATAAGTCAGGGTGTGATTCAAAGGGCTCTAAAATCAATTTTGATTAAGCACTAGGAGGTGGAGTCTTATCAACTGATGAACATGAGTGATGAGAGTCTTGCATAAACAACATTTTATAACTAGTCAGAAAGTTTAGTGATTCAAAGTGACAGTTTAAGATTAGAAAAGAGTCTCTGGAGAGTAATCCAGTTGTTGCTGTTCGGGCAAGAATGAATCCAGCTCTTCTTACACTCGAGAGAGAAACATCCAGAACAGACTGGCCATGGGCCGTTCTTGAGAAAGAAGACTCAGATGGGACTGTTGCTGAGTGAGGTGGATGCTCCTGGGCCTTTCTGCTGTGACTGTTCATGTAGATATTCCATACTAATTATAAGGGTTTCAGTTTTATAGTGCAGAATATAGGACTGAGATCCCTGAACCCTCAGTCCCCATCTGAACTTAGCCTGGAGCAGACCCACATCTACAGAACCGACTTACTGAGCAGCCCTGGCTCAGGCTGAAAGCCATGTGAACAGCAATGACTCTTGCTCTGCTGTTCTCCCAGCTATGAGGTGGCTCATGGTTTGCCCCACACAGGCACCCTTCCTTACTCCTCGATCTATCTGCTCTACTTCCCTTTCTATTTGTAAGTCAAGATAAATCTGTTACTAGATTAAAGATAACCAAAAAGCAAAAGTTTGTGACCTGAGAATGGATAAGAGAGGTTAAAACACACTGAAGATTAAATGAACTTGTCATCTTGTGTCCAAGCAGTTAAGGCAAGATTGAGGGTCTCAAAAATGAGGGGACCCTGAAAGAACAATGAGGGAAATGGAGGTTCTAGCATCTCTGCTGATGCTTATACCTCATAAACAAAAGTTGTCAGATACCTTTGTGATCATCAGAGAACATGACACTAACCTAGGCTACAAATAGGCTCTTAAAATTCCTCAGTGATGCCATTTGCAAGATATCGATAAACCGGCTTGTGAAGAATATAAGCCACAAGCTCAACAGAATAAACAGAAAAGAGTGGATGAGGCTGAGCCTCCACCGCATACCTCTTATTTCTCTTATGTAGTTATCAATATACCCACTGCATTCTGGTTGCAGGCTTTACAAAACAGATATCCATGTCTGTTAGAGATACTTTTTCATAATAAATGATAAGAGGAGGCCATGTTTGGGTTTGAAGAACAGGGACAGCCTTCAGATTACCTGTAAGTAGAGTAAAAACAGTAACAAATTCCAACAGAGCTCCCTTAGCTTGCCTGCAGCCACCACAAGCCTTTGGAGAGAGTGGGAGAAGGAATGCTTAAAAGACTCTCGTAAGAGTAGAGGGGTGCAGAGAGCTCAGAGGAAGCACAGAGAAAATCACAGGAAGAGAAAGTGCCACAATAAAGGCCAAAATGCTGAATAGGACTTGGGAGTTCTTAGCCCTGCTACATGACTTGGCTGTGGAAAAGGGCTTGGAGATGAGGGTGCGACTCCTGGGCAGCCAAGTCAGATGCAAGTAGATCATCTTTAAACCATGTCTCCACCCGTCTCCATCCAAACTATCAAGTTTCATGGATTTTGCTATCTAAAAGTTCTCCATTGCATTCCCTTCTCTCCAACCTCACTGTTGCTGCCCTTGTTCAGGCTGCCATCCTCTCTCCCTTGGACGATAACAAAACCTCTTATATTACCTTTAATCTAGATAGCTGCCCTCTCTCCCCATTGCCCTTATATCTAACTCACTTTAATAAAATCTATGCTGGATTAAGTACCTCTCTGAATCTTTCCATAGCTTCCTCTATTGCACTGTAATGGCTAGAATTGATACTGTGGAATCAGACATTGTGTACCCTATCTCATGTGCGTGTTTCATGACTTGGGGCAAGGTTCTTAATCTCTTTGAACCTCTGTTTTCTTCTCTGTAAAATGGGATTAAAGGTATTACCTGCCTTATAAGGTAGGTAATTAATACATGGAAATACTTAAAACAGTGCCTGGAATGTAGTACATGCTAGATTAATGTTAGCTAACAATCACCAAATGCTATTGTATTTTCCTGTTTATAAGTCTGCCTATCTCACTAGACCTAAACTCATCATTTAAAAAGAATTTTTTTAGAATGGTTTCTGTTTCTAAAAAACAGATTATCTCAGTGTCTACTACATAGAAAGTCCAGACCAAATGTTTTTAATCACTGAACAAGATGTCACATTTTCACAAAATTAATTAATCTGAATGAGACAGTTTGAATATTGTCTTAAATGAGTCATGGAGTTATTAATCTATATTGAACTTAATCATCTGTTTTTTCCAACTTGGTTATTGTAGATAATATCCTACTGTTGTACTAAGAAAGCTTAAGAATATTTCTGAATGGACATGACCAAAGTACCTGAACTCTGTGGCAGCCACAGGCCCCACATATAGAAGCATAACCAGCCCAGCAGGCTGCATACTGCAGAGAGTTCAAAGAGCGGAAGCTCGTGACAGCCAAGGTGCAGTGCCCACCAACACTGGCAGCCTACCTGCCCAGCCCTCCGCTCTTGGCTCCTGAGCCCTCTAGTTCCTGGCTTCATTCCTGGTCTCTCAACATCTGATTCAGAGCCTACTCTACATTTGTCATCCCTTTTGGATACTATTGATTCAGCCAGAATCCATGGGTCCAAAAGTACTGTTCTAGACTTCCAGTTTCAAGTCTGTTATGAGAGTGTGGGACTTACCACTTCCATCCTCAAAATAAGGAAAAAGCTGAGAAAACTGAAAATCAACAACTTTTACTTGATTCATCAGATAATTGAGGTCACAAAGCAAACTGCCACCATGAGAACTGGAGAAACAGGCAAATACAGAGAATCAGGGCTTACTAGGAGCAGTAGCCTGAGGCTGGAGCCAGTGTTAGAAAGAACATTTAAAGGGTAATTGACTAGCTGCTAGAGACTGAGTGAACTAGCTTGAGAGAAAAATTCCTGGGAGCCCGCCTTAGATTGGGTCCCTATACTTTTGTGAGTTTTACTTCCTGGTGGCCTGTTAAGTTCTCAGGGTGAATATCAGAGAAAAATCCCCTCCTGCTTCCTGCAAAGGGAGGGGGAAAGTACTATTTTGAAATACCCCCAAAGTATCTGTTCTTATTAACAAAGTTCTGCTATCTAGGAAAACTATTTACCAGAGCCTAATCAACATGGGTTTTATGAGAGCCAGTCTAAAAGAGGTAAGGGAAATACCCAACTCCAGCCCCCTCTGACATTCCTCTCTTACCTAAGTATAGCAGAAGGTGGGGAGAAGAGTGAAGGAGCACTTGTAAAGATCACTGTCCTGGGGCACAGGCCCATTAAAAGACTGAAACCTAATCACATGACTATGGAATGCCCCCACCCCCACACCCTATCAGTACACAAATAATGTTCCTGTATAATAACACCTTAGCAAAACGGTTAGAAATCATGCACAATGGAATTCAGCTGACCACAATGGAATTAAACTAGAAATCAGTAACAAAGATAGCTAGAAAATCCTAAGATATTTAGAGGTTAAACAACACACTTCTAAATAAAAGATGGGCCAAAGAAAGAGTCTTGAGAAATTTTTAGATATTTTGAACTAAATGAAAATAAAACATCAAAATTTATGGGATGCAATGAAGAGAGTGTTTACAGGGAAATTCATAACACTGAGTACATATACTAGAAAAGAAGAAAGATCTAAAATCAGTAACCAAAGCTTCCATCTTAGGAAACTAGAAAAAACAGAGCAAATTAAGTCCAAAGCAAGCAGAAAAAAAAGAATAAAAACTAGAGCAGAAATCAATGACATTGAAAGTAGGAAAACAATAGGGAAAATCAGCTACACTAAAAGCTGGTTATTGGAAAAGATAGTAAAATTGATAAACCTCTATAGCCAGCCTACCCAAGAGAAAAAGAGAAGACACAATTACTTGAATCAGAAATGAAAGAGGGCTCATCACCACTGATCCCATAGACATTAAAAGGCTAATAAAGAAATAATATAAGCAGCTTTATGCCTACAAATTTAATAACCTAGATGAAATGGACCAATTCTTGGAAAGAAACAATCTACCAAAACTCACATAAGAAGAAATAAATCATCTAAATAGGCCTATACCTACTAAAAAAATAGAATCAACAATCAACCTTCTAAAAACAGCGATTTTCAACCAATGTGCCTTAAAAGGTGCACTGGTATACCGCAAGAATTTTTAAAACACGTAATACCTAACTATTTCATCAAGGGCACCAGCCTCTTTTCCTTTAGGCTGTCAAATAAAAAATGACAACAGCTAACACAACAATAGCTGTCTGGTGTGAATGAATCAGAATTATACCTATTTTTTTGATCGACAGTTTTTGGTGTACCACACAATTTTAATAGTAATTTGTTTATGTGTGCAGTGAGATGAAAAAGGTTGAAAATTGCTGTTCTAAAAGAAAAAGCACCAGGCCCAGATGGCTTCACCAGTAAATTCTACCAAATATTTAAGAGAGAAATTGCACCAATTGTCTACAATCTGTCCCAGAAAATAGAGGCAGAGGGAACACTTCCTAACTTGTTTTATGATACCAGCACTACCCTAATATCAAAAAACAACAACATAGACACAAAGAAAGGAAAGTTACCATGAGACCAATATCTCTCATGAACAAAGATGCAAACATCCTCAATAAAATATTAGCATATCGAATCCAACAATAAACACATAAAAATAGCTATACTTCACAACCAAGTGAAATTTATTCCAAGTATGCAAGGCTAGTTCAAAATTTTGAAAATGAATTGATCTAATCCATCACATCAGTAGGCAAAAGAACAAAAACCATATGATTATATCAATAGATGCAGAATTTCATTTGACAAAATCCAACACCCATTCATGATAAAACTCTCAGCAAACTAGAAATAAAGGGGAACTTTCTCATCTGGATTAAGAACATTAACAAGAAACCTACTGCTAACCTTATACTTAATGGTGAGAAACTAGGTGATTTCCCCTAAGCTAGGGTAAATGGCAAGGATGTCCTCCCTAGCCACTCCTATTTAACTTCATACTGGAAGTCCTAACTAATACAATAAGACAAGAAGTATAAATAAAAGGTATACAGATTAGGAAGAAAGCAAGTTGCCTTTAGCTTGCAGATGGTAGGATCATTATGTAGAAAATTGCAAAGAATCAACGGCAACGAAAAGGCAGACCACTAACTTGTGAAACTAACAGGCATTTATAGCCAAGTTGCAGGATATAAAATTAATATATAAAAAGGAATGTTCCATCTGTCCATTTTGGCCCCATAGACTCTCCAAGATTTGACCAGCCTATGCATATATGGGTGGGAGGTGAGAGGGCTTAAACAGAGGGGCCTGCATTTGTGTAATACTAATAAAATGCATAATGTTAGGAGATGAACAGAAGTAGATATGGACTCAGGCTCAAAAACGATGAAAAACACTCCTATCTGGGGCTGAGGACACATGTAAGTTGCTATAAGCAAATAGCGTTAATTAAGTGCCTAAGTGTGTATATCAATATTCTAAGTATTATATTAACTGGGATGCTGCAAAATAGATTTACTATCATAATCCAAATGAAAAACAATGAGCCACTTTCTTTTTACCTGGTTTATTCTCTTATACTGTTTTCAAAAATAATAGCAATATTTACTTAGTGTTATAGAATTTTTAAAACCTCTTACATACATAAATTTACTTAGTCAATTATAATTTAGGTGCCTCTGAAAAAGGCTTTGGTTCATTTTTAGGAGTAAAAATTAGTATATTATTTCTTCCAAGAGCATATTCTAACCTATTTCCTTACCCTCAGAAGCAAGTTGGCTGTTGAGATAACCTGTTTTCTGACTGTGTTTAAGTGAAATAAATTTTCGAACTTCTATACTAAAAATGTTTATTTTTTATTTACTAGTATATGTTAGTTCTTTTCTTAAATATAATAATAATAGTAATAGGTAATATTCATTGCCTATTAACTTTGCCTATTCATTGCCTGAACACTTAACTTTGTTCAGGAACCATACTAATTACTTCAATATTTTATATCATTTAATCCCACAACAAAAAGACTTTTATTTTTACACTGGTTTTTACAACTGAGGAATATAAGGCTCAGAAAAGGAGCCTTGCCCAAAGTCATACATCTTGACAGAGCCAAAATTAGGAAGTTCTGTCAGGCTCTAGAGCAGATGTTGCAAAGTACCATTTTACATGTGAGTCAAATCTGGTGTCACCTGTTTTTGTATGGCCCACAATCTGAGAATGGTTTTTACATTTTTTAATGGTTTGAAAAAATCAAAAGAAGAATAATATTTCATGACATGTGAAAATTACATTAGATTCAAATTTTTTGTCCCTAAAGTTTTATTGGAAAACAGGCACTCTCATTTGTTTACATGTTGTCTATAGATATTGTTTAAAATAGCAAAGTTGAGTAGTTATAACAGAAACTGTATGGCCTACAAAGCCTAAAATATAAACTATCTAGCCTTTATAGGAAAACTTAACAGAAGAGTACCACAAAGAGCTGACCCTTGCTCTAGCAGGAGCAATGAAATGTGATGCTAAGTGAATTGCTTAAAATGATGTGACCATGTAAGAGGCAGAATCAGGATAAAAATTAGGACTTTTGATTGCTAGGCCCACATTCCTAATATGATAGCATTGCCTTTGCTATCAGAGAGCTAATCCACACACTTCCATAGGTAAAGAGTCTTGTCATTTACATGGATATTTTTTAAAATTAAAATATAAACAAAAAGATAATTTTTAACTAACTTTTATTATTTGCCTTGACTATTAACCACCATTTATTTGGAAAACCTAGAAATATGTAATCTTATAATATCTCTATACACAATTTGGGCATAATAAATATACAGACACATTGATATATGTGTGCGGTCTAATGTAAATTAAGATGTGTACATATATTTAATTTAATCACATATACTAGACATACAGATAATACATTTATATACCTTTATATTTAAACATATAACCTAACATACAATAAACCCTGTACACATTTCATTTGCACACACATACTACACATGGGTATACATTACATATATTTTATACATAAACACACATATGTACATTTTTCACTGCATACACACATGTAAGTCCTTGTGGTGGGTCACAGCTCACCTTGACTTTTCCCTCTCTGATGCCCTTTCTTAACCAACTACCTCAACCTACCAACACTGAAATAACTTTTTAAAAATTGTCTATCTGCAAAGGTTTTCACTTACAAATAACCTGAATAAACAAAAATGTACACATGCATATGTATGAATATTACATTAATGTATTTGTAGCACACTACATTCCTCAGAATGGAATGAGAAATATAACCTAGATTAAGGGAGTAGAAAAAGCAACCAGAGTGCATAATTGGATTTATTCCATTGTTCTGTCCAAACAATAAGACTGGACTTGCAATTTATCTGTATTGTGACATCCCAATTAAACCAGTTCTTTTGCCAAACTTGAGTCTGTTATTTAATTAAATTTATAAAATGCTCAAGGAAAAGGTTTCTTGAGAAATGCTCAATTATGACTGTATCAAGCATCTCTTGCAAAATGTGTTGTCTTTCAAGAGCACCAAATAGTTTTAAACGTGATCATGTGTTGTGGTTTTCAGTAAAACACTAAAATGAGGTAATTTTTTTTTCTTATGTTTGACTCTTGCAAAACTTAACCAGAGTAAAAATGTTTACTTCCTCATTTTTCACATTAAATCATTATGTAAAATATAAGTTTTCAATGTCTTATGCTAAAAAGAGAATCTCCTATAGTTCTACCTTTTATAAGTAACAAGAAAAAGAATTCCTGGTTAATTGTGGATAATTCAAACATCTCACTTTAATCATCTCACTTTACTCCCTTCCCCTCTCTTTTGTAATCTAGTTAAGGAATTGTGGAATTGACTTGCGTATCACTTTCTCCCCTCCCCCCTCCTTTGTCTTGTTTCTTTGGGGAGTTAATAATTGGGCTGCAGGAGGCACAGAGGAAAAAGATTACCATGTGCCCAGAAGTGTGAACCTTGGAAGGGGTAAAACTGGATAAAAGCCATCACACACACTCTCTCTCTCTCCAAAAGCAAGAAGAGGGATAAGAGAGAGAGAAAATTTTTGTGAGCTTGAACAGAACAGCTGATGGTGTGCTACTAATAATTAAATAATTCTATATTTCTATGCTCCTGTATTCCAATTTGTTATCTTTTAGATCACTGAAAATAAATATACACCAATTTTTAAAAAGATTACATTTTTAATTTTTATTAGTTAATACTCACCAGAGGATATTTTTTCCATTGATTTTTAGAGAGAGTGGAAGGGAGGGAGGGAAGGGGGGGAGGGGGAGAGAGAGAGAGAGAGAGAGAGAGAGAAAAGAGAGAGAGAGAGAGATGTGAGATGTGAGAGAGACACATCAATTGGTTGCCTTCCGAAAGTGCCCTGCCCGGGGCTGGGGAACCAACCTGCAACCCAGGTATGTGCCCTTGACTGGGAATCAAACCTGAGAGCCTGCGGTGTGCGGGCCAGTGCTCCAACCACTGACACATGCCAGCCAGGGCGAAAGATTACATTTTTTAAAGCTATGCTAAACTCAGCTGTGTGGTCATATAGTTAGCATATGGGTAAATGCTCTAATCTAAAATCTCAGAGTGCCTAAAAATAGGGTAATTTTCAAGTTCTAAAGAGTGAAAATAAAAATGCCTAGAATCCATAGTCTCAAAAGAGAAATGGCAAAAAGTGCTGGCTTCCTGATACTTAGCCTCAGCCTTTGATCAGCACTCTCTCATCCCAAGGAGCATTTTAAAAATTAGTAAGTGATGGATATTAAGAGGCTATTTCAACACTATGGTGGATTTCAGTACTTCTGAATGATTCATAGTTATTGGTCAAATGTAACTGATTACTATCTAAGAAATATAATTCAATATTAGAAATATTAGTATTTAACTGTTTTATTTTAATAACCTTTGCTTTATCACCTTGTCAAAGATCTTTTGAAAGCCTGACTAGATCATATTCAGGGATAAAGTTTTGTGTAAATGCATGTTTAATCCTTAAATGAACCGCAATAGTTAAATCATGGTTTAACCTCAGAGGAAACTTTTGGCTTTTTCTCCTAGTAGGTTACATGCCTCTAAATGTTTTGTAACCCTTTTTGTTCTTGTAGAGTTACAATTTTGTGGTATATGGAAGTTGTTGAATTCTCTGTGATCTTTGTTTTGAAGGATAGTGTCTATTCTTTTTAATTCTTTATATAATTGAATATACTAGGAAGCACATTTGTTAGGAACTTCTTAGAACCTTAGTACCCAGGGTCTGAAATTGGGAGAAATTGATATTGCTTGACACTAATGCCCCTTAAAGAAGATTTCTTAATGGTGTTACATTTTCCCCCTAAGTAACATTACATTGTCCAGACACAATGAAATATAGGAAAAATAATTTGAAAACAATTTTCCCCACTAAGCCATATTGCCAATGAACCATTTAGAGGAGCAGTCCTCCATTTCTACTCTTTATTTTCGTAAAACTGTAGAATTATATGCTAAAGTCTACAGCACTGTTTGACCTGGCGCCCTCTATATCTCACCAGTTTATATAATATTTTAACACTCTCCTATTAATCATGTTAGAACTTCTTATAAAGTCCATTGCAAACTCATGGAAGACAACTTCAAGTTTTCCATGCTCTGTGGACTTGTCAGTTATCACTTGTGGGATAAATCCTTTCACCTCAATAAGAAAGTTTCTTTATTTCTTTGAATTATTTTTCCTAGTTTAACCCCAGGTCTTCATAAATCGTAGAGATTTTGAACTCTCAGGAAACTTTATATGGAGCTTCCAGCGTGTTTAACAGTTTGCCCATTTCTAGGTTATTGGTTCCCTTTAAAAATGTTACCTTCTATGATTTACTATTAGGTAATCAGATTTTATCTTACTTTAATACATATATAACCTATGATTCTGTTTTTTCTATCTTAACAGCACACTGAGATGCTTCATGTTGTTGTGCCTTGCTCACAGTAGCTACTTTATGATTTCCTACCTCTCTCAAGTCAGGTCTAAGAAATTTACCTTTCTCATGAGTTCTTAAAGTACCAATTGAACATGTAATCATTTATCCTATCCAGTTACTTATCTCATGCTTTCCAGCCTGGTGAACTATGCTACCCACTGTGTTTGAGTAACTTAAGTTCCTAGTTATTAAGTACCTGGTATAATTTTTCTAAGTCTCCCAATTTTCATGGTTAGACTCTATAACATTTCTGTATACAGGACTCTTGTATATGATTACACTTTAACCATATCCATTTCATCATTCTCCAAGTAAAATGTCTACCTATCCCTGTTTATCCTACGAGCCCAACAATGGGAAGGAAGAAAGTAAATCGGAAGATTAGAAAACAGATCCTCTCGGTCACTTTAGGCTGCAGAGACCTAACTAAAGGCCAGGAATTTATCTTGTCTTAACCAAGATCACATATGTGTTGTTATATTTCCAACCCACTTTTTCCCACTGTGAACTACAAAGTTTATTTAATTTGTGCTTAATTTTCAATCTTAATTCTTTATCAAAATGACTCAGTTATCTTACCTGAATTCCAGCATTGGTGATTTTATAACACTCAGATAGAGAAAGTTCCTTTAATTTTCTATGTCTAGAAAGTATCGCCAAACCCTAAAAAAATTAATATAAGTATTATTTTGTGGTTATAGTTTAGTTAGAAGGTACATTTCCAATAAGATAACAGCCATTTATACCAAAAAATTTAGCTTCTGTCTTATATTTCTTTACACTTAATGAATCATAAAATAAATTTGGTAAAGCAGCATCATTAAATAAAAATTTTAGGTTGTCTCTAATGTTTTGCAAAAAGTGTCACAGTACCCCAGAGCCAGAAAACTCCTTATTTTGTCACCTGTTTCCAAGTAAATGTTATCTAAATCAATACAAACAAATCTTAAAGACCCCTAAATTTACAACTTTATTTTGAAGACATTTCATGTGGCTAATGAATCTGTTTTTCAATAATTTATTATTTATGCCTCACCTAAACATCTAAAAATCTTTAGCTGATTTTATTATGTTTAATTGCTTGAGGAGAGGGAACAGATCTTTATATAAAGTCCTGTGGAAAAACAGTCATCAATAGCCCACTTTGTTTCAGTTTAAAAGCTTTGTTTCTTATTATTTTTAAAAAAATAGACTGCCCTTTTCAGTCCTTAAATTTTAAAAATCTTTTCAAACTTTAAGTAGAGTTTATAAATAATATTATATTCGTTTCTGGTGTACAATATAGTGATTTGACATTCATATACCTTACAATGTGATCACCACACTAAGTTGTAATCCTCTTTACTGTGCAAACTCATCACAATGCTACTGACTATATTTCCTTTCACTTTTTACACCCATCCCCACCCCCACCACCCCTATGGCAACCATCAGTTTGATCTCTATTTCTATGGGTCTGTTTTTGTTTTATTTGTTCCTTTGTTTGTTTTTTAAGATTCCATGTATAAGTGAAACCACATGGTATTTGTCTTTCTCTGTCTGACTTATTTCACTTAGCGTAATACCTACTAGGTCTATTCATGTCACAAATGGCAAGATTTTATTTTTTTAGTTTTTTGAGGAGTCTCCATACTGTTTTCCATTGTGGCTGCACCAGTTTGCATCTTGTTAACAGTGCATGAGGGTTCCCTTTTCTCCACATCCTCACTAGTCTGTTATCTGCTGACTGTTGACTTAGATGGTAGCCATTCTGACTGGTGGTGACATGGTATTTCATTGAGGTTTTGATTTGCATTTCTCTGATTACAGCCCTTAATTTTTTTTTTTAATTATTTAATCCTCACCCAAGGATATTGCTTTTCAGGGAGCGTGGAAGAGAGGGAGGAAGGGAGAGAGAGAGACAGAGAGACAGAGACAGAGAAATATTGATGTGAGAGACACACATCGATGGGTCGCCTTCCACACTCACCTCAACCAGGGCTGGGGATGGAGCCTACAATCGAGGTTTCATGCCCTTGGCTGGAACCAAACCTGGGACCCTTTAGCTCGAGGTCCGATGCTCTAATCACTGAGTCAAACCAGCTAGAGTAGCCCTTAATTTTTTTATGAGTGGTTTTGCTGTCCCATTTCTCAGTACTCTCCCCCCTAAACTGGCATACCTCTTGGATAATGAACTGATTGATTAATAATGTGCCTTATAGATGCCATCCCCCTGTTTACATTCAGGATCACATTACTTTTAAAATTCCGTAAGAAATGCTTCCTAGACTAGATGGACGAGAGCAGTTTCTTCTCATGCTCTTGTCCCAGAACTGACTGCAGGGAAAATACCAAAAATAGTATATGAATTTCTCCTTCTAAATTTTATTTGCAGGACTGGTTTGCATTTGACTGATCTTAAACTCAACATTTGGACCATAATTGAAAATGATTATGAAAATATTGTATCTTGGTGTGTTTTTTCCCGCTGATGCACATAAAAAAATCCAGATCAAGGGAAAAAGTGCTTGGAAGTCTTATTAAATGAAGCCACTGTTTAAACTGCAATCTAATTTCATTTAACATTTTTGTGCACCACTCAAAAATAAACTCACCCTTTTTATTCTTTTAATTATTTTATTGCAAATGTAGATCCTTCTGTTAAGAACACATTATGTTTTCTGCCTCCATATTTCAAAATAAAGAATGACCAGTCCCTGTGGAGCCATTCACATATGGTCTGGGTTCCAGATGTGGATGCTATTTTACTCATGTTAGAAGAACTGTATTTAGATATTCCCCCAACAGATATAATATTTTCATAATCTTTTTCAATTATAGTCCAAATGTCGAGTTTAAAATCAGTCAAATGCAAACCAGTCCTGCAAATAAAATTTAGAAGGAGAAATTCATATACTATTTTTGGTATTTTCCCTGCAGTCAGTTCTGGGACAAGAGCATGAGAAGAAATTGCTCTCGTCCATCTAGTCTAGGAAGCATTTCTTACAGAATTTTAAAAGTAATGTGATCCTGAATGCAAACAGGAGGATGGCATCTATAAGGCACATTATTAATCAGTTCATTATCCGAGAGGTATGCCAGTTTATGGTATTGTTTGAACAAAAATATTAAGTAAGAGATGCAAGGTTTGTCTCTTGCCCTATACTTGATAGTAGCTAAATATATTTTATTATATTTATTATGTAACCAAGTTAGAATTTTTTAAGATGAGCTGGAAATGAAGTACACTTGCTAATTATGATATTTAACAGTCGACAGTCTCTTTACCACTTTATTGAAAATCACTAAATTTAATATTCACTAATATTAAAATAGAATGCCATGTTTTATCACTATAATTGTTCATGGAAATGTATGACCTCAAAATTTAATTAACATCATTAGCTATTAGGTAAATGCAAATCAAAACCACAATGAGATACTACTGCTACCTACTAGGATGGCTGTTCTTAAAAAGACAGATAATAGAAAGTATTGGTGAGGATGAGAAGAAATTAAAACTGTCATTAACTGTTGGTGAGAATGTAGAATGCTCCAATCACCCTGGAAAATAGTTCGGCAGTTCTCAAAAAAGTTAAAAATCAAGTTACCATATGACCTAGCAATTTCACTCCTAGGTATATATCCAAGAGAAATGACAATATATCAACATGAAAACTTGTACACAAATGTTCCTAGAAGTATTACTCATTTAGAAAAAAAGTGAAACTAGACAAATGTTTCAAATGATGAAAGATAAATGTGTTATATTCATACAATGAAATATTATTTGGCAATAAAAAAGTACTGATGCATACGAGTATAGATGAGCATTTAAAATGTTATGCTGAGTAAAAGAAGCCAGACCCAGCCCTGGCCAGTGTGGCTCGGTTGGTTGGAGTGTCGTCCCATGCACTGCAGGGTCTTGGGTTCCATTCCTGGTCAAGGCACATACCCAGATTGCAGGTTCGATCCCCAGTTGGGGTGTGTATGGGAGGCAACCGATTGATGTTTCTCTCTCACATAGATGTTTCTCTCTCTCTCTGTCCCTCTCCCTTCATCTCTCTCTAAAATCAATAAAAGCATGTCCTCGGGGGAGGATTAAAATAAAATTAAAAGAAAAACAGACCCAAAAGGCCACATATTTTATGATTCCACTTATCTGAAAAGTCCAGACTAGGCAAATATATAGAAACAGAAAGTAGATTAGTGGTTACCTGGGTTGGGCTGGAGAGTGAGTCAGGGATAGGAAATGACTGCCAGTGGGAAGGGTTTGTTGTTGTTTTGAATGATAAAAATGTTCCTCAATACACTAAAACCACTGAATTGTACACTTTGAATTGGTGAATTTTATAGTATGTAAATCATACCTTAATAAAGATGTTTATAAAATTGAATGATGTAATAATTGCATAACTAAATACAAATTCGAAATATTCCTACAGCATCCTTCAGTTCAAACCAAAATGAATACAGAAATTGCTCAGACTCTGCTGACCATTCTGTTATTAGCAAATCAGGGAGCAAGAGATGTCCTCATGCTGTGTACTGGACAAGTTATTGTAAGACCTTGGTTCTATAAGTAAACACAACTTTGTAACTGAACAGCAATAAGTCTAAGGCAGCTGGAGGAGTCGAGGTCCCCACTGAAAACTGCCTTGTACTGGTTATGGGAGGCCAGCTTCTCTGAACAAGTGAAACACACTATTCCAGTCAACGGGGTTTGTATTTTTTAATGGCTTTCTGACTCAGAAGCTTTTCAGAGTAATGACCTAAAGACTATCAGAACCAGCTAGGTAAAATGTTCTACTTGGCACCATGAGGTTCATAAATGCTCCAAATTAGGAGGTGTTCTCTGAAACAAGTGATGGTTCCAACATTTTACAGACTTTCTTTATACCTTTATAAAGTTTTAAATCCCAGGTCTTGGCAAAATTCATTCATTGTTAATTCATATTCATTTGATAACTATTTACTTAGCATGCATGTATTATACTGATCAGGCTCTGGGATAGAAACTGGGAATAGTATCAAGGTAAATGAGGTGCAGTATTTGCTCTCAAGGAGCCCACAGTCTGGCGTGGAAGACAGACACGTACAGCAGATTATTACAACCCAGTAAAAGGAAAACACTGTGCACAGTGGTGGTACCAAGGAGGGAAGATGAAGCCAACTACTGTGGATTAAAGAAGACTCCATGGAGAACAGTCATGAGTGGGGAAGTGTATGGTGCCAAGAAAACTAGAGAGAAGGACATTTAGGCAGAAGGAACAGAATTGCAAAAGCATTAAGATTTAAAACAGCATAGCATGTATATGGAACTATACAGCATGGCATGAATAGATTTATAACAAATTTTAAAAAAATATCTAAAGAGCTGACACAAGAATTTCTCTTGAGAAAACTGTGGGGTTTTGTTTTGTTTAATACCTTGTTAAATGTTTGGGATAAAAGTCCTGGGGCTTGGATGGTATTATGCTTTTACTTCTGGGAAAGATGGAAAGAGGAGAGTGGGAAGACAAGAAAAAATAAAGAGGAGTGAAGAACCAACAAGGTGGAGTAACTGGGCCTCAGTAGGGCAAAAGGCAGATAACGCTTGCTTTTCAGGAAAGTTGTAACATCATGAAAATTTAAAGCTTCCTTCATTTTCTTCAAAAGTCAGCTAAACTCATGAATGCTTTGCA